TTTCTTGAGTCGCTTCTCGAAACTACAAGAACATCAGATGATTCGAAATCATCTTAAACAATGGTTGCATTTCCATTATCCTTAACTCCATGATATTTTATGCATTCAGGGCACACCTTTCTTGTGTGACCCTCCTTCTTACAATGATAACATCAAATACCAGATGCTTTTCCATTATAAGACTTATGCTGACTTTTACCTTTCTTCTTATCGAACTTACCATCCTTTTGCAAGAATTTTCCCTTAACGTCCAAACCTTCACCAACCGTCGAAGGTTTATGCTCCTTTCGTTTGTTCAAGTCCTTAGAATACAAGGCTGGTTGAACCTCTTCAAAGCTTAAGGACTCCCTTCCATACAAGAGAGTTTCTTTGAAGTGAGCATGTATTCTGGGTAAAGCGCACAACAACAACGCTTGATCTTCATCATTGATCTTCACATCAATATTTTCAAGATCACGAATTAGCTTGTTGAACATATCCAACTGCTCATCCAACACTTTATCTTCAATCATCTCGAATGAATACAAAGCTTTCTTCAGGTAGAGTTGATTTACCAGCGATTTGGTCATGTACAAACTTTCAAGTTTCACCCATAACCCTGATGTCATCATCTTCTTTGATACCTGTAGAACAACCTTATCCAAGGCTCAACAAGATTGTGCTATGGGCTTTTTCTATCATGGTCGTCTTTTCTTTTTGTGTTAACGCAACATCCATAGTCGCTGCTTCCTTCAACACTTCTAAACAACCATGCTGAACCAGTAAGGCTTTCATTTTCAAGCGCCACAGACCAAAATCATTCACTCTTATGAACTTTTCAACCTCATACTTTTTTGAAGGCATCTTCTCCATGCTCACCACACCAATTTATTGTGAAAATGATGTCAAGAGCAGAGTATAACATATTTCTTTAAGGCAACAAATCCACAAGGTATGAATCAAGAAAGCAAGAAAAACACAATGGATTGGTTATTAACTGCTATTCTTTACTTTCTCTTTGAAACAAGATTACAAGTGTTACAAAATAAAAAATAATCTCTCTCACCCTAAATTAGGATTTGCAGTATGTAATGATGAGAGACTAGTATGCTATTTATAATAAACCTAACATACTAAACTAATGGGCTTTTTCACAAATATCCATTACAAGCTAACTTAAGGTACAAGTTAACTTAAGCAATTAGACATAACAAATGGACCCAATTAGCCATTCTAACAAACCTAACATTTTGGCAACTGTATGCTTGACCATACTTCGACTATAATATACTACTTTGACACCAGCATGTGAGTGACCTTCGACTTCATGCTAACCTCTGTCGAACTTGTCGAACCACAAAGTTACCCTTCGACCCAATAGAGTTCAATCAAAAATCATGCAAGAATTAATTACAGGGTCCCAGTAAGAGGGACACAGGTCGTGTCCTATGACACGGGCACCCGTGTCAAAATCCTGTCTTGCCATTTTTCCTATTTTCTTCCTGACACGGCCGGTCGTGTCAGACTTCCAGAAGCATTTTTCTGTGATTTTCAGTGTTTACAACCCTTCTACTCTGATTTGTCCTGTTTTATTCTTTTGAAAATGAAAGTAAAATGATGTATGAACATGGATATCACAGTTTGAGAAAACTTACCTTTTAAAGTGAAAATCCAAAATGTGTATGGATGTTTCCAGATGCAATGTGATAATTGATTGAACCTTTTTAGACCTCCTTGAAGTTATTTCAATCTTTACTTTATGCTGAAAGTGTTTGGGTCTCTCCAACCAGTCAACTTGTAAGACAATGTTTTTGAGTTTGGATGGTGATGATAATGATGTTACAGAAGTTGTTCTTGTGTTTGAATAACTTCTATATTATGTATATGAAGTATGTGGATGACTTGTTTGGACAGAAATGCAAGGTTTGAGAGATTTGAAGATTTTGGTTTCTAAGCTCAAGAGTGGAGGTTTTGTGGACAATTATGGTTTTTTGAGAGTATGGGGGGTTTGGAGAAAACTACACCACCAAAAACTTCTTTCTTGGTTTGCAAATGGCCTCTCTATTTATAGAGGAGGTTTGAGATAATGAGAGAGTTTGTTTTACAAGCTGTCAAAATTCTGGTTTGGTTGAGATGAAACAACCAAGTTATATGAAAATTGGTGTTACAATGCATGGTACAAACATGGTTTGAAGTTGCTAGAGGCTTTTAGGCATGTTTCTTCTTGCTTTGACATTACGTATGTACAGAGAAAACAATTGAGAGGCTCAAGGAGTTGACAATTGCATAAATCTTGCTTTATGTGAATGGCAATGGTGCCTTTGTGCTATAAATGGAATGATGCAACAAACAATACTTGAATCACTTGGATAATGGTTCAATCAATTGTGTAAACATATGATTATTGATAGATTTGCAAGTCACAAGGCCCACAGAGTAATATTATGCAGCACATCATGCAAATTGGATTATTTGTTCTTCAACAAAATGACTTACAATTCAAGAATGTGTGCCCAACTTCAGGCCCTTGAATCTCCTAGCTCAAGTATGATAAATTCATGCTCTTGGATGTTTTATAAATCTTGAAACACCCTATATAACTTTCATGCTGGCCATTTTGACAAAATCATATTGGAACTATGTGAAAAAATGCCAAGAAGTTGGGATAAAATCCTGACCAAAATCTGTTGGAAATTTCTTTAAGTGTTAGATGAAAATGTCATGACTTCATGGGCTTATATCCTCAAATCTAAGCGTTTTTTGGACATCAAACCTCTAAAACAAAGTTGTAGAATTCATCAAGATCTACAAATTTCATGTTGAAACTTTCCTTTGAATCATCTTGTATTTTGGTGAAAAAATATCATGAAGTTATGAAATAAACATGTATAAAACACTTAGAAAAATTTCTAAGTCTTGAAAAGTTTGACTTTTCAAATTGACTTTCTTGACTTCTTGATGATAAAGCTTGATATTCTTGAATGTCTTGATGAATTTTGATCTTTGAAACTTAATGTTGACCAAAAAGTCGAAGTTTGACTTTTCAGTGTATAGTTGATTTTTTCACCAGTTGACCAAATTTCATCTATCAATCCACTGATCTTGAGAAATATTTTGAGCATGAAATTAGTTCAAGACGATGTCCTTGAATCCTTGATATCATGTTTCAAACCAATAAGTCATGTATTAAATCAAAAGTCAAGTATCAGTCGTTCTAAGTCAAAATTCTAATTTTGACCATTTTGCCCTTTTGATGATTTGAACATTTTTCATGTGGAATTGTGATTCAAACTTGATCAATTGATTAGGGATGTCAATGGGGCGGGGCGGGGCCGGGGGGACACTTCCCCATCTTTTTCCCCGCCATCAAATTCATTCCCCGTCCCCGTCCCCGATCTCCGTCACGGGGGAATTTCTATCCCCATCCCCGTTCCCCGCGGGGATCCCCATAGATCCTACATTTATTCATTAATATTTTATTTTTTTAAAATGTTTATATTTTCTATAAAAATAAAAAGCACAAAGAATTCACATATTTATTATGTTATTAAAAAATACTAGTATTTGACATTTATTATTTTTTATTAAAAATACTAATGGAACACAAAATAATAATATTTTTTTTATAAATTTCTATAAAATGCTATAAAATTCAACAAAATGAACTATAATACTTTTTAAAGTAACAATATGCCTAAACAACTAAAAAAATCCAGCAACATAATTATGCTTAAAAAACTATACTTCATCAAAAAAATAAACATAAAGGAAATGACTAAAAAACCTAATCTAAAATATATATATTAAATTAACTATATTAAAATAATAGGCGGGGCGGGGGGTGTATTCCCCGTCCCCGTCCCCGAAATGCTCTCGGGGGAATTTTTCTCCCCATCCCCGCCCCCACGGGGGAAAATTCCCCATCTTTGGGGCCCCGAACGGGGCGTTCCCCGCGGGGATCCCCATTAACAGGTCCAAACTGACATCCCTACAATTGATACATATGACTTCAAAATGTTGATATTGGTAAAAAATCTTGAAATTTGACTGTAGGTTGATCATAGTTGACTTTTTACCCAATACAGTTGATTTTAGGTCATCTTGTCAATTGACTGAGCAAACTTGAACTGCAAGACTTGAACCTTAACATGAACAATCTTGAAAGTTCATAATGATCTATGAAAGTCATATGAGACATTAAAAGTCCAATTGTCCTTGTGAAAACTCAAATTCTAATTTGAGGCATCAATGTTGAGAAGATGACTTGACCTAATCAGCATTTATGCAAGCTTGAACTATTGAAGATCTTGTGAGAAATATCTTAAGAAAAGAGAAGACATATTTTAAAGTACAACAACATATTCACGTCTTGGTGGTCACCTTTCTCTAGCATTATTGTGTTGTAAATGCATATATATTTTATTCACATAACATTATAAAATACAAAATTAAATATCGACAATTATCTTAATACAACTTATTTCTCATTTAACATATTAATCGTAAGTCAAAATAAAAAAATATTTTAAAATGACTAGAAGTCTAAATATATAAATTTTGAGGGAGTGTGATTTATTAAAGTAGTTGAATTTTTTCAAAAAAATAATTAAAGTTGATTACACAAACCTAAGTATTTATTTAAACCTTAAGGATAATGTTGACACTTGAAGGATATAATTATATCCTTTTAACAAACAAATCTGCCATCAAATCATCCCAACAAAGATATTAATTAGTTTTACACTTTGACCCCTTAAATTATACAAAATTCGAATATTGACCTAAGACTTGTGGTTAATTATTCCATTACCATCGTCTCGCTAGGTCTATTGCCCCTTCGAAATTGAACACGAACACGAACACGGAGGAGCTTCTCTGAAATAAAGCCACCAGAGAGAGATAGAGACGAGGCGTTCATCTCTGCTTCCTTTAGCTCTCTCTGATTGGATCCTCTATTCGTTAATCTTTCTTTTTTTTTCTTTTTTTTTGTATATTTTTTTGTAAAACTCCACGCGCACAAAATGACGGGAATTCCTCGGAATCGTGATCACACCTCTAATTCTAAACGGAGGTTAGGATTATCCCTTTCTGATTAACCATTTCTCTGTTTGCATCGGTTTTAGTAGCTTTTGAATCGAATAATTTTCATTATTTGTGTTTTTTTTTGTGGCTAATTTTGATTTGAATTATTAATTGTGGATCGTGTAATTTTGATTTGCGAAATTTGTTTTTAATGATGTTGAAGGTGTTGGATTGATTATTAGGATCAGCTGAAATTTTGGTTGATATATGCGTGTAGCAGGTTTGATATTGTTTTCGAGGTTGGATTTCGCGTGTCGGCTAGATTTTAAGCTGGTTTATGTATTGTTATTGGATGTTAGTGGTTTTTTGGGTTTGTTTGACTTCGACTTGAAAATCAACAGAGACAATGTGTGACTGACGAATGGGTTTTATTGATTATATGTACTTGGTAGTGTATACTCCGTTGGTGTTTTTTTATGTATGATCTAGATGGGTGGTTGTGGATCATGTTAGTTTATTGTAAAAAGTTTTGAATTTTTGTTCCTTGAATATCACATATTCCTATGATTGATGCTGTGATTGGTCATGCCACAGTCCGTGTTCATCAACTGAAGCAGAAATTAGAGTTGGCCCCTGTTTTAGGTTTATTGTATAGGTTTTTTGTACAATATTCGTCATATGATGTTTTGAATTTGTTCAATTGTAGCAATGTCTTTAATTTGGTTGCACGGAGAGAGATTTCTCCAAGAACAAAGCATGCAGCAAGAGATGCAAGACGTGGCCTCCTGTCATGGTATTTGGACTACTTCAGTTTATAAATGATACCTTGGAAAAACAAGGCTGGAGATTGTGATTTTTCTAATGCTCTTGCTTTGTGAAAGGCTGATTTTATGGACTAACATCTCTTAAAATGATTCTCAGGGTTGAGGCCGATTCATTGCGGCATTTGTCAGCCAAGTATTGCCCTTTATTACCTGCCCCAAGGTCTACCATTGCAGCAGCATTTAGTCCAGATGGAAAAGTTCTTGCATCCACGCAGTAAGTTGCAACTAGTTCATTACTTCAATACCTCATTGTTAGTTTGAATTAAAGTTCCTTTGCGATGAGTTTTGTTTGTTTGCCATGTGTAGTGGTGACCATACTGTAAAGATAATAGATTGTGAAACTGGACGTTGCTTAAAGGTGTTAATGGGCCATATGAGGACGCCTTGGGTGGTAAGCTTGAAATCTGCCTGTTTGCCTGAATTTATTGTGCATTTGTTTTTATCTTTTGCTTTTTGCTTTTAGTATTGATTGTAGTTTACAAAAGGAATCAAGTGCTTCGTCATTTCCAATTTAAATTTTTGTGCTAAATGACTGCAGGTTAGGTTCCATCCATTGCATCCACATATACTTGCTAGTGGGAGCTTGGATCAAGAAGTTCGATTATGGGATGCTAACACATCAGAGTGCATAACATCTCACCATTTCTGTATATTTACTTACTGTCTATCTCGTTTTATTTTCTAAATCACCTTTGCTACTTTTACTAAATTTGTTTGCTTGTTTTTCTGGCATTGGTTGGGTTCTCTGTTTGATGAATTTATTGGATGTTTTCTCACAGATCGCCCAATTGCTTCCATTGCTTTTCATGCCAAAGGGGAAATTATTGCCGTTGCATCAGGCCACAAGGTAGTAATTTTTATGAGACCCCCATCTCTCTTTTTTATTTAAAATCTTTAATGAATTAATTACTCTTCATTTTAATGGCTTTTTAATGTTCTTACATTGTGTTCTGGAACACCGTGTAGCTGTACATATGGCACTATGACAAGAAAAGTGAAGCATCCTACTCACCAATTTTTGTGTTGAAGACTAGGCGATCTCTACGAGCTGTGCATTTTCACCCTCATGCTGCACCATATCTTTTAACTGCTGAGGTGAATGAACTTGTGTTTTATGTTGCCTATATACCTATTCAGAATTTTGACTTTTTGATTTTTCTTTTTGGTTTACATACTTGTATTGATGCGCAGGTCAATGATCTTGACTCTTCAGATTCCTCGATGACAGAGGCAACATCTATTGGTTATTTACAATATCCTCCACCTGCCGTTTTTGTCACAAATATTCAACCCACGGAACATGTTACTTTGTCCAGTGAACCGCCTAACGTTTCATCGACTTTCTTCTTCGTTCCTTCATTTACTGTTGATGAGTCAAGAGACGAATTACAGCATGCTAGTCATGATGATGGCTCGAGTAGAATGCAAGTAGAGTCCCCTGCGGTGGTTCAGTTTCAAGTAGATACAAATGTAACAGAGCAATGTGATACTTCGTCTCCCATGGACACAGTCTCGGAGGTTCCAACTAACTCTCAACCTGGTACAGAATATCCCGCTCATTCTTCTTTCTCTAATGGAATGGGAATTGGCATCCGCAACCTCACAATGGATGGTATGGAGACTGATGAAACCAGACCGTCGGAAGGAAGTCAACACGGAAACGTTACTGATATAAGTTCTCTCAATGGCATGTTACACGGACTATCGGGGCAAACTGCAAATCATGGGGTTCATTCAGAGTTGGGTCAATTTCATCAGTTTGTTTCTTCAAGAGACACAAGTGGCTGGGAGTTACCTTTTCTACAAGGATGGTTAATGGGTCAAAGCCAAGTTGGTATCCCCTCAACGCATTCTCACCCGGGTGTTAGTCATGGCACTCTAGCTCAACAGATTAGTTCTACTGCAACGGCTAATAATCATTCCACTTCTAATGTTGACACAGCAATGCCATCTACAACAATGTCCGGCGGCATCAACATACCCAGATCTTCTACAAGATCAGGTCTACGGAGTAATTTTTCCCAATTGCTTAGACCTGTATCTGAATCCCGAAATCTTGCAGCTTCTACTAATACCCCACACAATGGATCTGACATCCAAACCATCATGAGTCGAATCCAGTCAGAACTCGCAACATCTGTGGCTGCAGCGGCAGCTGCTGAATTGCCTTGTACCGTGAAGTTAAGAGTATGGTCTCATGACATAAAAAATCCCTGTTCCCCACTAAATTCTGACAGATGTCGTCTAATCATACCTCATGCTGTCCTCTGCAGGTACTTTCTGAAGCTATGTTTTTCTATTCAGTTGTGAATCGAAATTATATGCATTTTATGTTTTTTTTTTCAATTGCGTTTGCACTTTGCAGTGAAATGGGTGCCCACTTTTCACCATGCGGTAGATTTTTAGCTGCCTGTGTTGCATGCATGCTTCCACATATAGAAGCTGATCCAGGATTGCAAACTCCAGTACATCAAGAGCCTGGTGTTGCAACATCACCAACTCGGCATCCAATATCAGCACACCAAGTTATGTATGAGCTGCGGATATATTCCCTTGAGGAGGCAACGTAGGGAACAATTCAACTATTACTGCTAAGCATTTACTATTTCTTGAGCAGGTTTTTGTGAGTCCATTACATTTTAAAATAATTGTTATTGATATTTGTTAAACAGATTTGGATTGGTGCTTGCTTCTCGAGCAATTAGAGCAGCTCATTGTCTGACTTCAATTCAGGTCAGATTAGTACTTCATCATCCGTTTTCTCGTAATCATAATTCTATTTTCCCCCTGTTCAGCATGTGTCTGTACTTTTTTTGATAGTATTCATATTTCATGAATGGTTTTTTCTCTCTCTCTCTCTCTCGGCCATAGATACAAATATGTGTTATTTATTTGTTATATGCTTTGGACTCCAAGTCAAAATGATGAATAAAAATGCGGTAAACCCTTTATTATTATTGGTTGTTAAGTTTGTTCCAATGATTTTTTTAAATTATTAATAGCTAGTTCTGTCAATTTTGAGTTTAAATATAATTTTTAAAATAATATTCTTCATGAATTGAATTTGTACAACTGCTGTTTGATGTGTAGTTCTCTCCTACATCGGAGCACATACTCCTTGCCTATGGTCGACGTCATGGTTCTCTTCTTAAAAGCATTGTCATTGATGGAGAAACAACGTTACCTATATATACAGTTTTAGAGGTGCAATTCTCTTCCTACCTGTTGTAGGTTTATATGATCTTTATTTATGAATCAACCGATTGTGATTAATCTGTGAGCTGGCACTGAACGTTGTAAGATAAAATTGTTAAAATCTCAAATTTTTGTCTCGGATTTTGCTTTGTATTTTAGGTGTATAGGGTTTCGGATATGGAACTTGTTAGGGTGCTTCCTAGTGCTGAAGATGAGGTTAATGTGGCATGCTTTCATCCTTTTCCCGGGGGCGGGCTAGTTTATGGAACAAAGGTATGATTATAATAGGGGGAGATCAATCTGGTATGCTTTCACTTGCATTGTTTAATTGTTAATTTTTTGTTTGTGATTGTAGGAAGGAAAGCTTAGGATTCTTCACTACGATGGTGCTCACCCAGTGAATGGCAATGGACCAAGTTACTTTCCCGAGGAGACCGTCGTTGGATTCAGTCAGTGAGCAAGGTTATATATTGATTTTTTTTTGGGTTTTATTAAATTAGTTACACAACTATAAAAGTGATGTTTGGTTTTGATTTTCGTGGAGATTAATTCTTGATGAGTACTAATACTGATCTCAGATAAGAATTAAGGACATACTATAATGATGATAGTGCATTCACCAAAACTCAAGTGTTGATCAGCATAGCAGTTAGAACTTTTATTGAGGATAAATTAGGAGAATAAGGAATACCGTAGTATTTTTATGCGCTCACAAGATGTTTAATTTTCATTTATTGCCTGGGGTTTAGAAACTTAAAAAAAAACATATTAGAATGGCTTAAATATGTTTCCGGTCTCTGATATATTTTTTAGTCCTTGCATTATTATTTTTTGAAATGGTTCCTTTAATATATTATTTGAGATTTTGTTGTATTTTCTGTTGGCCCAACTCAAGTAACTGCCTATTCTCCACAAATTTAGAAGAAATTGGATATTCCTACTATCAGCGTGATCTTTATTTTGTCTTGTTTGTTTTTCTATATGAATATGAGTGAATTTAAGAATCTCAATGGCCTTTGTTTTTATCACTCCTTCACAATAATATATATTTGGTTCACAATGACTGGCATTTAATTTATTTACCCTCACAAAGTTTCCATCTAATTGTAGGTTTAAACATGATTGGAGATGGAATTCAATGATCTGCCTCACATTATCTTTATCACTCACGTGGTAAGCCTTTTGTACTCCACTTCCTTATGTCTTTTTTTTTGTATCCGTGTTTTATTTGGTTGTATTCGTGGTTGTATGAAATATAAACTCATACAACACAGTAAGTTTTTCTACATAAGCAGTGGATAAGATGTAATTTATCTTTAAATTTTAAATGAAGGGGTATAATGTATATATCTCTCAAGCAGCTGAGCTTTCTCACCATAAGATTCATATCGAGAGTAAAGACTTTCACCTTGATTTTTCAATCAACAACTAAACCAATTAAGTTGATTGAAAAACCAATTAAAGCTCAACTTCTTGAGTGATATACACTTGGAAAAAGTTGTCTTTCTTTTCATCCGCAAGTTGTTTTAAAACGGATCTTATGACCATGCAGCTGTTTCCACTGATGATCTGTACAAATGTAACATCATCATATCCAGTGCTGAGCACAGGCAACCAAGAACTGGAACTTCACACTCGCTGCATTGCATTAGAAAATGTATATTTTTGTATTATAATGTATGTATGTATTAGTACTCTCCTTTTGTAAAAATGTCCGTGTTCCCTTCTTCTGCTTACCCTCCTTCTTTGTGCCCATTGCTAGGGGTATCTTCCTATCTACATGTGTAACTTGTTCAGTAGTTACAAGGGGAAACAAATTTATCCTCAGAAATCTCATAATTTAGGAACATGAATTTTCTTTTGTGAAATTTTTACACGATCTTATCACGTAAATTTGGTATTTACATTTTAAAGGAAGAGATCACACCATTCTAAATATTGTGTTTTTCTTAGGGTACCTTGAGGTTTTTTTCTCTCTTTCCAGTTACTCTTTTAACTCCTACTAGTATTATATTAGCTAGAGGTTAAGTTGCCAACCGAATAAAATGGTCTATTGAAACATTAGAAGAAATTCAATACTGAATTGTGGGATTAAATGTGTTTACCGTCTCAACAAATTGGTGAATTTTGATTTTGGTTTTGTAAGACAGTTTATTTGATCTTCATGTATTTTAATGGAGGGGGGAATTTGCTGCGATATATGAAGCGATTATTGGTAATCACAAAACAATAGAGTATGATACAAAGGGAATTTATGTCTTTCACTAAATACCATTAGATCTCCCAACTCGTAGATGCCAAATATACGCAATTTTTTCCCACCCTTGCTGTGTGAATCACATCTCTGTAAATCTAAAAATGTTTTTAGAAATTTTCAGGGATGCATCTTCTGAGTGTACCATGAATCATTTTTGTCATAATTTAGTTAGGAGATGCATTTGCGAATATATTTGGGGTTTGTTTGGAGATGTATTTTCAAAAACTCTTATTTCGGAGATGCATATCATTAAATTTTCCTGTATGCAATGTAGGCAGAAACAATATTTAAGTTTGTATTTTTTTTTTAATCCAAAGTTACTTTAATCTGACTAACAATGTTATAATTTAATTCAAACATTAGCATCTCAAAATAAGGCAATGCATTAACTAAAAAAATATGTCATAATATTACATAGTTCTCAAAGTATAGAAAATACTAATAAAACATCAAAAAATACATTAAAAAACATAATCTACTGCGTATGCCAAATCCTAACTCTTTGGCTTCTCTTTTGTTGTCGGTAACCCAAGACATTTCGTGCCTCAGTAAGAATGAAACGTGCTAGGGTAATCACATCATAGCCATCTCTCTCAAACAGTTCAGACTCTATACTTTCTCTTGTAATCTGTATAATATTCTGACAGATAGATAACATATCAACGATATAGTCATCCATGACCTGTTCATTCTTCAGGATCTCCTTATGAGCAGGCTTAGGTGGACGCTAAAGAGAGTCTGGTGTTACGACATGGTGTGACAAAATAGAACCGAGTCATGTAACCTTCAACATAATGATATTGACTTGTGGTTGACATACTCTGATACTCCTATGAAACCTGATGATTCTTGTAATCCGCCAATATGTTATCAAGATGTATGTATACATATGATGTTGATAGGAGCAACCGCCAAGGATGATCTCAAAATGATCTGCACAAATTTAAACTGATGCATGCATCACTCTGGTAGATGCATATACATTAAATTACTCCCACATGTCAGCCATCCGGAGAAATATAAAACATGATCGAAGGGAATAGTGTCCCGGTGAGTGGCGTATGATGTCCAATCAATACACACACAGAATGGCCGCACAACATCATTCCCTCTACGCAGACAATACATGCAAACATGTGAGTAATCCTCAGTATACCCTAGCACACGATCAAACCCGTGTATGCAGTGAAAGTGAGATATAATCCATCCCAGAAAATGAATAAGAAAAAAAATACATTAGTAGCAAGTGCAGAAAAAGTTGTTTTTAATTAATAATGTCCATGGAAATTACCGTCAGAAGGGTGCAAGAGTCTGTCATTTGCTTTTTCGTCCAAAGAGAACCTTCACTCAGCTTGGTGTACAAGTATACCAAGCATGCGACCCCCCAGTTCCACTAATAAATGGTCGTCAAGTCGATGAAATACATAAGGTATTCCATATCTACATAGGTTGCACTTTTGTCCACCAAGATAGACGTGTCGACCAAAGATAGGAGGATACACCTCAAAGCACATTCTCGGTGGTATATAACCTATAGATCACCTTCGTCCACTTCCTTGACCAACTCCAAGTTTTCTTCATATAGCTTTCGCAAGTATGAAAATTTAGCATGAGCACCCCTGGTGCTCTCACACTGCATCAGGGCTTCCATTGGGTCAACTCCCAAATAAATCACCATCATCTCTTGGGCCTCACCGCGTTTGATCCTAAAATGATCAAGTAACTACCCCCTGATGAGAAGGTGTAGAAGACAAGCGACATCATCAAGTGTAGTCGTCATCTCTCCAATGGAAAATTGGAAAAATAACGTTTATTTATCTCATATCTCAGCAAAAACCCTTTGCATGCCATGAGTGATGATCTTGTACTCAGAAGAACACAACACAGTAAGACCAGCGTATCTTAGCTCACTTTAAAACCACTCATACTTAGGATGATGAAGCTAGTGAATCTTTCTGGCATGGTTACCAGATTTTAAACAATCGCGTTCATGTTATAAAGAAAATATAACAGTATCAATCAAATTGAATTTGGTTAAAATAAAAAATAACAACTCTTAACAAATATACCTCTCCATCCAGACATGCGACAACATGATCTCCAAAGTATATCAGTAATGAGGTGTCAATGGACCCTCTTGGATAAGGGTGTGCAAGTGGAGAGACACCATCATGTGCAGTTGGAGCCTCCTCATGGTGTACGTGAGCCTGGGATGCGGACCCCTGTGATAAGAAGCTCCTAGAAGTCGACAGTTCCCTGTCGTGAGATGCATCTTCGAAAAAGCTTCGTGTTTTGCTTCAATGGCAGAAACTGTTCCTAATCTTACCCTACCCTAAAATCATCCAAATCATAGTGCATATTTGTAACATTACCTATTTCGAATTCTATTACTACCTAATTATTAAAATTAAACTATTTTACCTAATACAATAATCAAAAGTCAAAAAAATTTATATGAGAAACTTACTCAAAAAAGCGTTGATAAGGATGAATAGTGTTCAATTTAGTATGTGAGGTGAGTTGAGATTGATAAGATTGAAGTAGAGGTTTTTTTGTTGCTCAAAAATTGTTTGGAACAATTTTTCTCACGAGCTCCAATGGGGGAAGAAAAAAAATCAGAAAATTAAGAAGGAGGAGAGGGAGGGCCTGCACGCGATATATACACATTAAAAAATTTCGGAGACGCATCTCTAAAAATTCCTTTAATTTGAAAATAAGGGTTAATTCAGAGATGCATCCGCGAACAAACCCTAAAACACATTCGGAGATGCATCTTCGAATTAAAGTTTGGAATAGTGAGGAGAGCTCAATAATTTGCGCTTATTTTATGTGAAAATGGTGCGTTCAGAGATGCATCTCCAAAAATAGGGGCCATTTTTTTACTTTTCGCCAGGGGTTTGGGAGAACATACAAGGGTGGGAAAAGAAATGGCCCAAATATAATCCATTTATGGCGAGGACGTAGAGATTGTAAGTGCTTTAGTGTGTCAAATGAATGTAGTACTGCCATGAACTAGCCCACTACAGTGAAAATTCAATTAGGGAAATGCTTTTTGCACCCTTATAGGTGCTCCCACACTTCCGTGAAAAGTCTATGTTATCCATAGCATCTGGAGATGCATCTCTAGACACACCTATTTTCACCATTCCTCAATCCAAATAAAAGAGGCTCCCTTATTATGTAAAAAAGTAATTCGGAGATACATCTTTGTATGTGTTAAACGTGCGTCCAAAGATGCACCTCCTGAAGGTGAAAAATACACAAGAAGGGGGAGTTGAATTTTATATAGTGAATTCTTTTTACTTCTAGAAAACAACTTCAGAATCTAAACTCAGTTGTTTAGCAGCGGAAAGAATAAATGTTCAGAAGCAAGAAGTAAAACAACACACAAAATTATTCTGGTTCTTCCCACAAACTGAAAGTAGTCCAATCCCATTTTCCAACAAGAGACTTTAACTATAATCAAATTGATTACAACTTGCTCAAGCATACTATCAAGAAACTTTAACTACTCAATCATACTAGAAAGAGACTTCTTCTCAAGTACAAATGCAAGAGGTTTCCACTGCTCAATCAAACTAGGAAGAGACTTCACTACTCAAGCAAACTAGCAAGATACTTCATATACTCTAAATAAATAGTTTAGGAGAATAGACAAGAATTATACTTGATATAAAATCATAAGCATAGAAGTGATACAACAAAAACAAAAATTTCAAAAAAACTTAAGATTTATGAGATATACAAAGATAAGAAATCTCAAGAACTTGTGCAGTAACAATTGTAAAAACTTTAGCTCAGAGTTTTGTTCAGTGTTGTTCTTCTTAGATGGTTCATTGCTGTATGTTTTCCTTCAAATCGTCAACTTGTTCAAGTGAACTATGTTGAGAAGCAGTTCTAAGAGAGATGTTGGAAGTTGATCTATTAAGATCTTTATCCTCTGTGTAAAATCTTTATCCAAAGTATCTTTCTCATACTAGGTACACTACTACAAATAACACTTGTAACGTCGGTCGCGAAATGTATTTTACCTCGGCAATTCAGGCGAGATTACTAAGGGTGACATGAAAAGTTGCCACTTATCGCCTCAGTGATTTAAAAACCAGAGGGAAAAGTGGAATTGGTCACAGTTTCCATCCCTAGCAACTAGGGATGTTCGCGGTGCAGTTTGAGCGGGTTTGAAGCAAAAAATCACCCGAACCGCAAGAGAGAACAACATGCAGTTTGGTTTGGTTCAGTTGACTTTTAAAAATAAATCTGAACCAAACCAAACCAAACTAATGCGGTTTAGATTGGTTTGGTTGGTTCAATTTTTTACAAAAAAATTATTAAACCATACATACACATATAGAGGAAAATATAATTTTGTGTTTAATTCTTCATAGATTACCATAAAAAAATTTATAATTGCCAAAATAAGTTTATAATTTGATACATAAAATTGTGTGTTATAATTTTATCTAAATCTAAAGAATGATATAGACAAGATTGTATTCTTAAATAAATATTATACAAAGAGTATGATAAAATATATTTTGTGAAAATTGTATTTATAAATGAATAACATTTTATTTTTTATGATTTGTA